TGATGAATGTCGTGCACCGGGCCTCTAGTTCTATTATAAAAGTCTCCCCAAGTCCTGCCAACGTTCCCTTCTCATAGCTCTCAAGTCAGTCCCTTTCTCAGCATCCTTTCTGACCCCGTTCAGCTCAAAACCGAATCCACACCTACCTGGTGGCCGAGGCACTGTTCCCCCTGTCTCCAGGTCCTGGGGAGCGAGGGTGAACATCCAGAAGCACAATTTGACCATTTACTTCATTGCCCATCTTACAACCAACCCACTAGTGCTTTCCTCGGCTGGTGAATCTGGCATCCCCAGCCCTTGGTACCTGCCCTGAGTCACCTGGCTGTCTGCTATACACGATCCTGTCTGCTGCCTCCTGCCCCTGTACATTCATCCCCACTCCTCCCTTACCCTTTTCCACCCCCACCTTTACCCAGCTGACCCCCACCAGGCCAGCTGCCTCCACCCAGTGTCTCCACAGCAGACCCTTGTACTAGCTCGTGTCCCTGGCAGGGCCTGAACCCAGTAAAACTGCCCTTCTGGCCCCAAGCAAAACCGAGATCCCTGGAGTGAGTCGACTGGTGTGTGACAAACATGGCTGTGATGTGAGCCTGAGCTTGTGCACTGGGGCTCTCCCTCGAAATGCCCCCCACGGGGCAAGGGGCAGCCTCTGCTTGGGGTCCCACCACACCTTCACCCAGTCACTAAGCGGTGGCTCTGTGATAGCCACCATGGGGCTGCTTCATTGAAATTCAAACACAAGCACCCCAGGTGACGTCTCCGTTCTCGCAGCCACTGTGAATGCTTTCACTGGGAAGGCAGATAAGTCAGAGGCTTCGGAGAACTGGTGGGGGTGGGACGCATCATTCCTGTCCACCTCACTTTCCCTAGGGGCTCGGGAGTGAGCACTGGGGACAGGCCAGGGACACACAGCAAAAACAGGAGGTGGTATGTTGGTGCTCTCCGGGCCTCTGTGGGCAGCCTTTCAGGAGGCCTGATTTACGATGATTTCTTTTGTTTTTTCATGTGACTGTCAGGCAGGCGAACCTCGGGCCTCCCCTCTGAGCTCACATGGAGACGGTGTCAGGGCTTCCTTCCATCAGCGCCTCCCAGGCCCGTGCAGACTGCACACCACATGTGCCATGTGTAGATCTAGCTCTGACCAGAGTCGGGGTGGGTTTGTCTCGGTGTCTCAGTCATTCAGGTGAAACCTGCTCTGGCAGCTTGAGGTTTGGCTTTGTCAGTGACGAGTGGGAGCAGGTGGTGTAGACAGTCCGTGAGATCGCTTATCAGAGTGGTCAGTGAACCCCGACGCTCCGGGTCTGCCGGCCTCCCTGAGACCTGCTGGTCTTTGTAGCCCCAGGCCCTGGAGTCTGTGCCTGCCATGGCCAGGTGTCAGCAGCAAGGCCTCCTAGAGGGGTGTCTGTTTGTCCTTCACAGCCTGTGCCCTTCATAGACGGTTCTGCTTGCTCACAGCATGGCCAGCAGAGGTGGCCGCACTGTTCTGCCTCGGCGATATGACCAAGACTCTTGTCCCAGGTGGGCCTGTGAAGATCCAGGAGCGCCCACGCGTGCGTGCAGCTACATCCATAGGAGGTCCACTTTCTGACCAGAAACAAGGAACTTAGTGTGAACAGAATGATTAGCTTCCGGCTAAGAATTCTGACAATTTAGTGCCACCATTTAGAATCAGGCTAAATTTGTCAAGTGACTGAAAGTGAGGTTTTTCAGAAATTATTAGCTAATTTTTTCCATAGAGAATTTATCGTCGCAATTAGTATATCATGATGTTTCCAGCAGCTCAACTTTTCTGGCCACATATGTGCAACATATATCAGTTTATTTTTGGAGATCTGAAGAATTACCTACTGTAAATAAAGTCCCCAAGAAAATTTCTCCGGGAAAGAGGTGAACTTACGGTAATATGGGTGATATATTATTAATTAATAACTGTGACCAGCGCTGTTTCAATTAAAAGGACAACGGATGAGAAGGCCTAATAGAAGGAGATGCTGAATTCGAGTCCCATCAGCAGGGAGTCTGCAGCAGACTGGGCAAGGCTGCTTCTGAGGCCTCGATGTCAGATGTTTCAAACTAGCCTAAGGGGAAAAGGGACTTTCTCCTTAAGGGAGGCCACAGGGGTCTCCCAGAACCCCAGGACAGCGTGTGCTGATGGGGCAGGGACAGCTTCCCATTGGACTGAGGCGGGCTGGCATCTATGTCTCAGTTTAGAGGAGGTAATTTGATTGGCACGTGTGCCCCAAAGTACAGGCACGGGGAGTGCAGACAGGGCTGCGGGCGACAGTACGTACGGTGTGGGAGTCACGTGGGAAGTGTGCCTAGAAGAGTGGCTATGGAACCTTGCTCAAGGAGGTACCAGTTGAGCCAGGTCCCCCAGGATGGCAGGCTTTCTCCACATGGGTCACCGAGAGACCCCAGGCCTGGGCAGGTGGGGTGTGCGGTGGGCTGGCCTGTGGCATGTGAGGGCAGTGGCATGAGAGGAGGCTAAACCAGGAGGCAGTCTCAGAAATGGCATGGTTATTTTGCAGGTGATGGGGAAGGGGTGTGAGAACTTGGATCTGGGGCAGTTCAGAGGTTCAGACCCCTGAGGTCGGTCTGCTTTGGCCGTGTCTAGAGCAGCCCTCCCCCTGCCTGCCCCCCGGGCCACACATCCTTCCAGGGAGAAATGGCTGGGGCCATGGGAGCTGCTTCCTTGCAGGGTCACAAGCCCACGGCTCCCCTCCCAGCAGGAGCCAGGGCCGTGGAGAAGGCTCATAATGGCATTACTATCAGCCTTTCTCCTTCCTGTTGCTCATTTATTTTACTTCAAGCACAGTTATTTTTAGAGTAATAATTTGGAGGTAATTGGCCTTCTACCTCAAAAATGCCACCTTTTCCATGAAATTATTGTGTGGAAGAGGTTGTCACGCCTTCCTAATGTGATGTTGCCCTGAACACCCTCCAGAGTGAAAGGATCTCACGAGCCGTTTGACTTGATATTTTTATTTTTTACTGTCCGTTTCTCCCCGGCCTGTAATGAGAAAAATGAACCACTGTCAAGAGTAGTTGCCACACGGCCTCCACTCGCTCTCACTTGATCTGGAATGATGGGAAATCAGTGGGTCTCCCCTGTAGGTAACCCCTCAACACTTTTTTCTCTCTCCAGGTCACGCAATATTTAAACTCACGTATCTAAGCAATCATGACTATAAACACCTCTACTTCGAATCTGACGCTGCTACCGTCAATGAAATCATGCTCAAGGTGAGTGTCCCCGCCCACAGCACTAGCTGTGCTGGGTTGGCTTCTGCTGGGTGGTTCTCAGGCCTGGCAGCATGTCCTTCACCCCTCAGTCCACGCACGCACCGCAGTTCAGCTGTCCTGTACCCACTCAGCCAAAGCAGGACGCCCCTCGGCTTCCTCCTAGCCCCCCAGAAATCCTGATTCTTCATGTACTTATTTATCCTTCTTAGACACCATTTCTTTCCTTCCATCCATTGCCAGAAGCCCCTTGAGGCTCCTGGAGCAGACTCTGAGGAAACAGTTATTATTTGAAGACACCTTACTGTACCCAAGGTAATTCTAGCAACCCGTTCAAAACACACCTAACTCGATGCTAGAATTGGATGTCACCACCGCTCAACACTGCTCGCTGAGCACCTTGGCGAGCCAGGCCAGTGCTTGAGGTGCTGCGGGGTCGACGCAGCCCTGCCCTCAGAGCTCTTCCTCTGTCGAGGACACGGACATTACACATTGAAACTATCAGCAGCCTGTGAGGAGCAGAGGGGCGGGGCCCGCACAGCGTGGCTGGGAGGCTGCACCAGGCCTGTGTGGAGCAGAGGAAGGGGGGAGGGGCAGGCCACACAGAACCTCCCAAAGCCTGTCGGGCTGGGAAAGGCTGCCCCAGGGTCTTGTTGGTTCAGGAGCCGGGGGAGGGCCTGAGGTGAGTGTTTCTAAGAGGCTCCCAGGTGCTGCAGGCCGCTGCCCTGGGCGCTACTCCAGTAGCCCTGGACTAGTGGTTCTCAGACTTCCAAACAGAATCCTTTCCTCAAACGGATTCATGTGTAGTTGACCAGATAGAGGAAAAAGAGTTGCTTTGACAGAGCAGGTCTTAAAGCCAGAGGGGCTCCAAGTTGTAAGATGTATTGCTTCTGGGCGCCTCAGTTTCCCTGCCTGTTAAGTGGGGTCGTGGCAGCTGCACTGCCCCACACCACACAGGCCTGTGAGAACACAAATCCAATGAGATGCGATAAACCCAGTGAGATGGCTACTCAATCTCTTCCTGAGAGTGGAATCATCAAGTAATAATAATCAAAAGCAGCAAAGATCCACCAGGGCCCGCGCTGACACACCGTTCCATGGAATCGTCACAACTCCGTGGGCAGCGATGCCTGAGGTTCCCACACTCAAGGTGAAAGGGGCTCAGGAAGAAAGGCACTTACCCAGGGCCATGGCTGGCAAAGCCAGAACTGGACCCCACGTTACAGACCTTGTGCTCCTAAACCCCCAGAGTGTGTAGACTTAGGGAGCTGAGTGGGGGATTTCAACGAAATGGAATTGTTTTACAGAAAGATGCTGAGGCAAAGTCCTCGTGGCCGCAAGGTTTCCACAAGTGGTAGATGAGGATTAAAAAGATGCTGCTCTTGGGGAGATGGGGAGCGGGGGACAGTCAGGAGCAGAGACAGAGTCAGACTGTCAGTTGGGGGGAAGGCCAGCAGGTTCATGGACCACCTGGATCACAGCTCCCCCCTCACCCCACCCGGGCCCAGGCCGCGGGGACAGCGCCTGCCGGATGCTTAGAACCAGCGAGCTAAGAGTTACTTGCCATATCGTCACCAGACGGCACAGGGAACTTGTGCAGAGTACTCAGGGCCTAGGTAACGAAATATTCCATTACCCTGTCAGGGCTGGGCTTTTTTTATAGCCAGCATTAAAATATTCAAGACTTGAGAAGGATTCTAGTAAAATTATAATCCTGTGTTTGACATCAAATAATTTTCACAACAGCAGATTGATGACAGAAACACAGGTTTATGACTTCAGTATGAGACCGTGGAAGAGCAAGTGCAGAGAAATCATCTCACAGGACCAAATGCTCCCCGAAGCAGATGCTTTCCTGCAGAATCCCCGAGGCCCGTCGCCGCCCCTAAAATGTCTGCTTTCATATCAATTGTTTGCAGAAATACTGCCTCCTGCACGAGACTCGGGGAGAGTCACGCGTGCTCAGGCCTGATCAGTTCGAGAGCTAAGGGCCACGGTCCTGGCGAAAGATTACATTTCACTCCTCCCGTCTCTGACTTTTATAGCCGTTTGAATACTTAGCCTTATGGCCGTCCCCCCGGGGTCTGCGTGAGCTTCGCGTCAGCACCCACCCACTGCGGCCCCGGCCCTGTCCAGTCATTTGGCAGAAATGTTTCCATCAGAGGCTCTTCAGGGCTCAGTCTTAGGCACGAGTAATCCCTGTGGTGGTTCTAGAATCCAGGTGTTTTGCATAAAATGAGCGCTTTCGACTGAAACTGAAGGAGGAAACAAGGGCCAGAGGCTGATGTCAAAGAAACTATGATGAACAGGCAGCTCTCCATCCAGTTATTTTTTCTTACTGTGTTTTTCCCTGTGCAGAAACATTAATATCTCCCATTTACTGAGCAGCAACTGCATACGCACGCTCTCGTTCAGCCTTCACAACTGTTCTGCAGTGTGGACGCTATTTATCCCCATTTTATAGATGAGGAGGTAGAGGCCCAGGGCCACAGAGCGCAGAAGGGTGGAGCGTCGGCTGGATGCAGGCTGAGGCGCTCCTGAGCCCACCTTCCCGGCCGGGGATATTAATTGCGCTAAGCCGCGTGTGGTCCCTGGTTCTGCAGGCTCCCAGATGAATCTCAGAGGAATCATTGGTCTCTTCAAATCGGGTTCTTCTCATGATCGAGTGATGGAGGCTGTGGCTTTATTGGCCATGAAAACTCCCTATATTTTTATGCCTCGAGCTGTAAAATGCATTGAAAGTGAAACACTCTATAGTGCATAAAATTGTGCAAGTTTTAAGCCACAGCATATTAACCAGCTAATGGCAGACCAAAGGGCGTTTTTATCTTCTGATTATTACATTAATCTTCCATTAAAATTATCTACATGATTATCACAAAGCACTGAAAATAACAAATTTAGGAAATAGTTGGCTACTTAAGGATCATCTTGAAATGCTTTTGTCAAGTTGTATGTGCCAAAGACACACTGAAAACACTAGGTTGGCTGAGTGTGCAAACGATAGAATGCAAAGATTGCTCTCATTAAGAATGATAAAACCTTATTTCCACACACTGTCTGGAGTGTCCCGATCGTCAGCGGGGCCTGCGGCCTCATGATTTATTGCTCTCAGCTGGTAACTTGGCGAGGCAGTGGGCCAAGCGTGTCAGGCCTTCTGTACGCACACACCAGCCTTTAATGCCTGCTGCTGGCGACTATCAGAGCAGAAAGTTTGGAGGGAACAGTGTCGGAGCCTCGGCCCCCTGTGAGGTGTGCCGTCCCTCGCCGCCTCCCCGCTCTGGGTGGAGGACACGGGGCCCTCAGTGGAGAATCAACAGGTGGTGGCTGGTTTCTGTACCAAAAAGTACTCAGGTTTCTGGTCATAACTTTATATATTTGAGAGTGAAGAGAAATGGTGTTTGCTCACAAAGAGCTCCAGCCGGAGGAGCTGGGGCGGTGGGAGGAGTGGTGTCAGGGCGTGAGGGGGAGGGGGTGCCTCTGAAGAGGTGGGGCCTGGAGAACCGGAAGGTCTGTCAGTCGAGGGCCTGGCACTCACCCCACCCCAGATCCTGGCCCAGACGCTGGCTTCGTGACCTTGAGGCAGTGTCATTACTGCTCCGCGCCTCGGCTTTCCCATCTGCGCTTTGGGGGTGATGATGGCCTCCCACTCACGAGGCTTTTTAATCCTTGAAAAGCACCCAGACCTGCTGCTGCCCAGTCGGGCTGGTCCTCGCCGCTGGGCGCAAGTCTGCTCACGGCACCACTGCCCTTCCCAGGCTCCTCCCCACCTCACCTCGACCGCACTGAGCCTCTGCAGTTCCAGGGCACCCCTCCCTGTGTCCTCTGCTGTGCCTAATGCCCGTGGTTCTCCCCTGGCCTTGTTAGCCCCACACTCCTCGTTCTCTCTCCAACCCCAGCTCCCCCGTTCCCCCTGCAGGCCTTCCTGCCGCACCTCCCAGCAGTCACCCCTTCCTGTGTGCTCCCCTCTGTCAGTTGTCACTCTGTCAGGCTAGTGGACACAGACCTTGAACCAGGCATGGGGCCAGGCTCAGGCCTGGCAGATGCTGGCGACCGTGACTGCATGTGTGTCAGCCCGTGGGGAGATAAAAGGGTCCCGAGAGCAGCAGCGTGCAGAAGGCCGAGCTCCTTGTCCGAGTTGTAACCGGGAAGGCGGCCACTGTGCACTTCACCGTGGCGTTCTCAGCCCCGCTCCAGCTTGGCCCTGCCCTCTGCGTGGTCCTGGTCAGCGCCACCCTCCTCCCTGGGCCTCACTTCCCTGTTCTCAGATGAGCCCTTGCTCTGGGGGCTTGTGAGTGTGAAATGAAGCACCATCGTTGGGAGCTCTGCACCTGCCCAAAGCGGGTGGGGGGGGGGGGGGGGGGGGGGCAGGGGTAGGAGCTGAATGGAGAGCCTTGATTTGGTTTGGTTTTTATTCCTACAACGTCCTCATCCTTCAGACAAGGCAAGTGGGGCTCTGGGAAGTTAAGTGCAAGCCCAGGGCTGCACAGCAGGCAAGCAGCCGAGCCAGGAACCAGTGCACAGCCTTCTGGGAGGCAGCACGTGTGAGCACGCAGGCTGTGGTCGGAAAAGCCTCCGCTGACTGGCGGGCAGGCCGGGCCAGCACTGTCCTCTCCAAGCCTGTGTCTCCCAGCCTGCCGGGCTGCTGCGACCCTGGACCCCAAGCACAGGAGGCCCCTGAGGGCACCCGCCAGATGGCCTTTGTCGCCCTGGGCGAGCGGGTGGCTGCTGCGCGTGACGGGCTGTGTCCTCTTGCTTCCAGGTCAACTACATCCTGGAGTCACGAGCAAGCACTGCCCGGGCTGACTATTTTGCTCAAAAACAAAGAAAACTGAACAGACGCACAAGCTTCAGCTTCCAGAAGGAGAAGAAATCGGGGCAGCAGTGACAATGGCCTCCAGCCTCAATCTGCTCCGGAGCTCAGAGCTGCGCCAGGGCCAGCTGGCCAGCGCCCACCTGTCCTGCAGTCCTCAGGGCAGGGCTGGGGGGCTCCTGGGGCAGGGCTGGCACCTTAGGACAGGTCTGGGGATATTTCCACGGGCCGCCCGAGTAGCAGCGGCTTTAAGTAGCAGTGCCCAGGCCGGCGACCGAGAGGAGCCACCGCTGCCCAGCCCCCCTCACTGCCCGCCCGCCCGCCGAGATGTACATAGCCATGCCCACACATTTCCTTACAACTTGATCAAATTTCTTGAAGAACAAAAATGTACATTTCTTTTTCCTTTTAATAAACAGGTGTCCTCTTTCTTACGGTTGGTATGACGGACCATTCTTTGGGGCAGAGGATTGATTATGTTATTTGCTTTAAAATCTGTTCCCATATTGAACAGGCAGATTGGAAAAGCCGTGGCTCGATTTCTCAGAAGAAATGTTTAGGGCTTAGTCAATAGTTTTAACTCTGCCATTTGTTTAAATGAGCGCAATGCTCTGAGGATAGTCTCTCACTAAGGTCAGGAAGGGGACCTAGGGGTGTGTGTCCGAGGCGGCGCCATTTCCCCTCAGCAGCCTCTCGCCCAGCTCGGCCCAGCACCTCCGACCTCAGGGGGAGCCAGGGGAGGGGGAGCTGGTCTGCAGGCTATGCTCGGCTCCCGCCAGGAGTGGTCTCCATCCTTAAGTAGCAAGTGTCCATTTCAACTAGCGATAGGCCTGCCTGTGGGTTTTCCTGGCGCTTCTCTGCCTGGGAGGCCTCGGTCCCTTCCTCCCTGTCCTCACCGAGCCAGGCTGGGAGCTGCTGCTCTCCACCACATCGGGGAGCAGTGAGCAGACGTGGGGCCCAGGGAAGCCTGCTCCAGGGCAGGAGGCACGGCCACCTGGCCACACCGATGCCTCTGCGGTCTTCACCACCTCCAGGTCCTCCCAGGCGACGTCCTCCCGCACCGACCCCAGGCTCAGGGACCAGGTGTTGCATTGAGGACCTGCCTTTCAAACACTTTTTTAAATTGTCCAGCAAGAGATGTGACCAAAACAGCATCTCAAAGTCAAGTGTATTTCTTTGCACAGGGGTCATTTTAATGAATTCCTCTTTCCTTCTGAGCTTTGTTCAGCCAACAGAAGCAGCCTTTTCTAATGTCTTCCACCCCCCAGAAACAAAAACAAATACTATTTGTAGCTTGCTATCTGTATTTGAATTTTCAGCAATTTTATATTTAGATATCTTTGGAAAATGTAAATGACTAATTTGGTCATTAAATCCTGTGACATATTCAATATTAAAATAAAAGTCGTATACGTGTCGTCTTTGCGTCTTGCTTCAAATCCTTCAAGTCCAAGTACCTCATCCTGAGACAGTGACCACGGTGACCACCTGGTGCCAGGTGGTGTGGAACCGAGCATCTGGGAAACCACCGGGGCCGCCTTCACACTGAGCAAGACAGGACGGCCCTCTGCACTCACGGGACGTTGAAATCATCGCCTCCTTCCGTTACCAAATCAACACCCTCCTCGTCTGGTGAGTTACAGCACACACGCAGTTCACGTGAAACATGTCCACGGGAGGGACCATTTAAGGGGAACCCTAACCACCACCCAAGTCGACCGAACATCAGGACTGTTTACGTCCCGCTCCCTGGGGGCATCCGAGGGTGGGGAGGGGCCGAGTGTGCGGGCTCCGTGGCTGCACACCGTCCCAGCTGCTCTGCTTACCAGCCTCGTGACCTGTAGGTAAGTGGCTAACTTCCCTGCACCTCAGGGTCCAGGTCTGTAAAATGGGATGGAAATGCCCACTTCTCCCAGCTGGAATCAAACCCGGTGAGACGGTGCGTGCTCCGTGCCTGGGCAGCAGGACGTGACATCTGCCACCTCACTTAGTCCGGTTGCCTGGATGCCACGTGCTCCCCAGTGGTTCCTTCTCCGTGGGAGACCCAGCTGTGCCGAGCTGTCCCCTCGAATTTCAGAGCCGAAGAGGCTGCCCTTGGCAGCTGCCAAGATCAGCTTCCTCCGTGCCCAGGGAGGAGGGCACACAGGAGCCAGGCCACGGCCCTCTGCCTCGGGGACAAACAGCTTAACTGGAGGGCTTGGCACCATAGGGCTATACCCAACCCAAGTCCCACCCTCGGGGACGCTACCCCGCCCTTTCTCACCAACTGATGTGAAACAAACCGCTCATCGAGTGCCCTCTTACAAGGCAGGCCCTGGGGTCGGGCAGATGGTGCTCAGAGTCCAGCTCTGTCCCCTGGTTGGTGTGTCCTTGGAGGAGCTACTTTCCTTCTTTGAGCCTCAGTTTCCTCTTCTGTAAAATGGGGACAATAATACCTCGAAGGGGCGTGGTGAGGATTGTATGAGTTTGCTAGTCAGGGTGGCCCAGGCTCTGCTGCAGCAACAAACAGCCCCAAGGCCTCAGTGGCTTAACATTGCTCTTCACAGTCAGCCATGGATCCCGCCATCCTCAGGCTTCCATAAAGGTTGGGGTGCAGACAGG